AATACATAAATGTTAAAATTAATATTAAGTTAATATTTATAACAATTTATAAGTAAATATTTGTAAATACTTATAAATACTTTTATACGCAAATGTTATACAACTTCTTTTTAAAAGAGAGACATCAGAAAAAAAGATATCCTTAAAATATTCAGGATATATTATCTAAGAGATGTCTCAAATATGACCAGTGAAATGATATCTGATTTAAGTCTCTTTGTCAGATACATTTTGTTGTGTGGGTATCTGCTGTTTGTTTTGAGACTTATTGCTAACATAAAAATTATAGAAAATTTTTAGGTAATTTCGATATATTTGTCCGTGTGGATATTTTTATTTGATTTATTGAAGATTCATAACTCTAGTGCGTTTTATATAATTTTCCCTTACGCAACGTTTTCTCACGTAACTCGAGTTATTATGGATCTTATTGAAAAGCGCTAAATCGCTAATCGACCCTCACTCTCTAATGCATTGCAATCTGCTGTTCAGATTGTACTTGTTAATGCTGCGACATATTAGCCATACAAATTAATTCTTGGCTTTTTAAATAAAACTTAATATTTTAATAAAAAGTAAACATTTATTTACACAAAATAAAATTAAACCTTAATCAGGAAAGTGATCTCCAGCAGAGAGAGATCTTATAAGATCGCACGTTCATAAGTTTTCCTGCAGCTTTTTGTAGGTAATAAAACTGTAAAAAATTGATTTCTAAAGTAAAGAGTAGAGTTTTTTTAAAACTGAGTAGATTTCACGTTAATTTGTTAAAAACTATTATATAAAGTATTTATTGATGTAAGGAAAACTTTCTTTTTCACATTGCTATTATTAAGAGTTCTTCCAGGTACCAAAGTCTGGATAAACAAATTATTAATATTCAACAGTCTATAATAAACGAATATACATACGTCACATATAAAAGCTCTGTAGAAATTAATATGAAAATAAAGTATCTGCAACTTCCTAAAAGTAGCAGAAAAACGAACTGAACAAAACACTTGTCGCCGTCATCTCGACATCTTTTATTTTTCAGAAGAGAAAATATAGGAAGAAATGCGAGTTCTTGTAAGACCGCACGTCCATAAGATATCTTTCTTTTTCTTTGCAGCAATTCAAACGATTTTCTGGTCTTATACGGAATTTCCTAAAGAATTACCGTAGAGAGACCGTACGACTTTTATGTCTCGATGTGGATAACGTAATTGCAAGAAATATTTATTACTACAGCCGATCGCAAATTCGATTCCTCGCAGATTACTTTGGTGATGCAAATGTGAAAGCAACGCATGTGTTTTCTGGTGCACGGCAATCGACGACATAAACGGAATTTTTCATAAGCGACTATAATCTATACCCCGAGTTGAATGAATTTCGCTCTCACATAACACCGATAGGTAAGGGACGAGATGGACAGTGTCGATAAATTCTTTGGAGAGTCGCATTACAATATTGTACGAGTTCTGTTAGGCGTCAACGGTCTATGGCCCTATCACACGACAGGCAGACGCTGCGGGATATATTTCGCGCTTCTTCTCGTGCTCGGATCTGGGATGACATTTGAGGTATACATTCGAGATTCCAATTACGGGACATTACATAATTTCTTCTCGACTCTACGATTTTGTTATATAAAAATGTGCTAAAAACATACATTTTTCTCAATAATTGTGTTGTTGCCATAATGCCAATTACTGTCAAATACGTGTACAACAAAAGCATGCACCCTTTACAGCGTGTCACTGTTTCGGTCTTTTCCCTCGGTAATAACGGAGCGCGAATTTAGGTAATACGAATGAAATGTCGTTTAAAAGCGTAAGCATCACACAAGCGATATAAATCTGTGCCGAATGCAGGTGCTGGGCATAATTGAAGTTTGGCCAGATTCTTTAGAAGTGATTGATTGTTTGCCGATGTTAGTTCTCGGCACGGTGTCAATAACTAAATTGGTTTGCGCGATACACACATTACCGGAGGTGCGTAAATAAAAATAACGACGGTTTACCTTTATCGTAAGCTCCATAGCCGAGCGTCGCAAGATCGTACTTAAATTGATCTCGAGCTGCAGATTAGGATACTTTTGATTAAAATGCGACAGTATTGGTGTTCGCCGAAGTCGGATGAAGAGACTAAAATTCTGCATTCATATGCGTTATATGGAAGAAACTTAAGCTACGCTTATGCAGGTGAGTCTCTTCATTCTATATGCAGCGATGGGATTAAGTACCTAAAAAGCAGAACAAAAAGACATTTAAAAGTCAACATGACATTGAAAAATAATCATTTCTAGCAAGTCAAGATGACACTTTACGCTTTTAATAAAACATACTTTGACTTTTTTATGACTATATTTTTACTTTTTGATCCCTTTCGACGGACGCAAATCGCTACTGCACGCGAAATTATTAAAATCTCGCAGAAAAAATTATTATATTTGATGAATTTGTGAAAATATTTGATTCTTGAAGCATTGATTTCTCGATTTTCCATTCACAAGATACAGAACAAAAGCTCAAGAATACAAAATACTGAATATTACACTTTATCATGCAAATCATATTTTTAACATAATAGTATCATTTTTGTTAAAAAGAACATTTTGTATCCAACTATTTTACTATTCATTATTACTCAGTATACTTTATTAAACATTTTATATTCTTTAGAATCGCAACGCTAATTATATAAAGTGACAATTGTTGTAATATATTATTTTTGGATCATTACAAATATCAGATTATTATTCGTTGAAATTAAATATAATAAAAATACAATAAAAATTTTTAAATAAAAGTTAATTAAAATCTTTGTACATTATATTCTTCAATAAACTAGCAACCACAGTCTTAGCGTTTAAAAGTTCGAATATACTTTACAAATACAATTTATGAAATATTCTTTCTTATGAATATTACTTGAATCCTAAATAAAACTTGATTATTAGATTTAAATACTTTAAGTACATATTTGTGAACTTAGTCCCATCTCTAGTAATGATATCATATTTCATTCATCTGAAAACACATGACTCTTTTTGAATTAGGTATCATACTTAGTCACACTGTTGTTTTCGTATTTACAACATTGTTAAGTAAACTACTCCACGTGGAATCCAACGAAGACGATTCTTCAAGCAGTGCACATGACGCACAAGTAGGATTACCGTACCACGTCAATTACATGGTTGATCCACAAACGTATTACGTTCCAATTTTTGTACACGTCGCCATATGCGTCGTATCTTATACAGTCTTGATGCTCACATTCGATGTCTTGTATATGACACTTATCCAGCATTGCTGCGGCTTGTTTGCAGCTTTGAGGTAACTCTGAAAATATTTTGCTGAAAGTACTGTGAAAAGTGAAATGAAAATTATTGAAAAATTATTCAATATATCACAACATGAATCACAATTTCCGTATGAAATACCCGTCAGACATTATGAAATTTGTACTGAATTTAACTAAAAATTGTGTTACTTTTTAATGAAAAATGTCTGATATAATTTTCCACTGAATTTTTATTGAAATATTGATAAAATGACAACGAAACAGAATCGATTGACAAAGATTTTCAAACAACCATTTAGCAAAATTTCAATCTATTTTCAGTAAAATATTTCCACTAAAGAAGCTTGATAAATTTTACATAATTGACTTTAAATTGCTTTTAATGTCCGCGGATAATGGTAACCTTTCAGATATCGTATGGAAAATGCGTTTGAATTTGACGGCGAGGGAGACAATTTGTCGATGGCCGCGAGAGGCAAACTTTACTCAAATATCGTATACAGTATTCGACGGCACGCAGATGCGATACAGTTAGTACACGTTTGCGCCTTCACTGTTTTATCTCTATAAATCAAATAATAATTTATATAATTTATGCGTACTATGCTAGATTTGCCATTGTCACCGAGTCAATACACAGAATACCGCTTTTCATACACGTCGGAGCTAACATATCAGTCCTGAGTATCTTAGGATTCCAGGTACATTTAATCGCGCGCGCTGTCTGATAATTGTACATTGACTTTAATTACGTGCTTCTTCAGGTGATAATGAATACAGAAGACGTCAATCACTTGTTGAAATACGCTAGTTATCTGAGCGCGCTTCTACTCAACACATTCTTTGAAAATTGGCAAGGTCAGAAAATGATAGATTCCAGCGAAAAGGTGTACGAATCCGCGTACGTTTCACACAGTATCAAGAACGCACTTACGAAATCGCGAATATAACCCATTACAAATGTAACGAATTAGTAAGAGTCAATAGAATTTATTACGTTTCTCAGAAGTTTTGCAAGAAGTTTCACATCTCTCGAAGAGAAAAGATAATTAGCGAAAATTCGTATGTAAAAGTAATTGATATTTACAGATACAATGCTGAATGGTACAAGATGCCAACGGCGCAAAGAAAACTTTTTATGATGGTCATGATGAGAAGCAGAAAACCTTTGACAATAACCGCGGGTAATTTTGTTAATCTGTCGTATGTAAATTTTAATGCGGTAAGTATAACAATAGCTTGATCGGCACATAGAATTTTTCAACTAAAGACGTAAAGGTGTTTATGTAATTTAATTTAAGGTATTACGTGCGTCAATGTCGTATTTTATGCTGCTACGATCCACACAATAAAAATTCCAAACGTAATAAATAATTATATAGAACATATCAAGATATTGACATTCATACTTATTAATGATTAATTAAGTCGCTTAAAGGCATAGATATTTTTTGGCTATAACGTATAAGCTGTAACCTTCCAAACGAATTTTCTGTAACGTGATTAAATAAAATTATAGAAGAGTTATCTTATGAATTGTATAGTCATCAAACCTTAGAGTTTACAAGCTAGATAAATAGTGCGATTAATAAAAGTAACAATAAACAGAATATATGATAATTTCACAGGAAATGCTGCTTACAGGAAAATACATCTGCAGCGATCTTACGGAATAATATTTTTATCGTATATTAAAAAAATTACTTTAATCTATATTTTCATTACTTTCTTTTATACAGGGTGGGCCATTTTAATTTATACAGTCGATTTTTTAAAAAACTAAAAGAGATATGAAAAAATGTTTCAGACAAAAGTTGTATGGTTTCGAGGGGACATAAGATGG